TTAAAATTATACCACAAATTTTTGCCGATGTAAGAAGACCAAAAAAAAAAAAAGAAAGAAAGAAAGAAAAAGAAATAAGATGACTTAATTTGGGAAAGGAAGAGGCGAAACTAGTATTTATAGATAATTACCAGAAAATGTGAGGTATAATAGACTGAAACACTATTAGAGAACACACTGAGAGGGGCATCTGGGTGGCTCAGTTTGTTAGGTGTCCAACTGTTGATATCAGCTCAGGTCTTGATCTCAGGGTGTAAGTTCAAGCCCCACGTTGGGCTCCATGCTGGTTGTGGAGACTACTTTAAAAAAAAAGAAAAAAAAAAGGAGAAGAAGAAGAAAAGAAAACACATAGAAACTATTAGGAATAATGAAAAAATTTAATAAAATCCACATAGATGATCAAAATCAGTTGTTTTCCTTTTTGCTACCGACAACAAAACGGATATATATTTTTAAAATCCCGTTCCCAGGAAGCACAGAGAACTGTTTAAAAGATGGGCAATTAATATAATATGGCATGTGCAAGACTTGCATAAGAAAACTATATTAAGGAAATACACAACAGGGGGCCTGAATAGGCATATTACAGATCAATGTTGTCAAGGTATAATTACCTCAAAATTAATCAACATGAATTTTGTGCAAGTTCCATTAAAATCCTGATAGGATTTTTCAAGGAATTTGATAAACTGTTTCTAACATTTGCCTGAAAGTAAATGAGCAAAAATTACCATGAAAATGTTGAAAAAGACCAGTAAGGGATTCTTTGTCTTGCCACAGAGCAGAGGTCTACTGCAATTTTTTGAAATACAGTTTTGGCATGTGGATAGACCAAAATATCAGTAGAACAGAATAGATTCCATAAAAAGACCCCCAAATACATGAGAATTTAATACATAATCTTATTGACAAAGAAGGTATTGGGATAACTGGTTTTCCTTAGCAGAATAAAAAATTTAGGTGCCTACCTTAAATCATAAGACAAAATAAATTCTAGATGGCTGAAATCCTGAAGCGTTAAACATAGAGGGGGGAAAAAAACTACGAAAGTTAAAAAAGAAAATATAGGTAAATTTTTTTAAAAGATTTTATTTATTTATTTGACAGACAGAGATCACAAGCAGGCAGAGAAGTAGGCAGAGAGAGAGGAGGAAGCAGGCTCCCTGCTGAGGCGGGGCTCGATCCCAGGACCCTGAGATCATGACCTGAGCCGAAGGCAGAGGCTTTAATCCACTGAGCCGCCCAGGAGCCCCAAAATATAGGTAAATTTTTGTGTCATCGTTTGTCCGGGGAATATAAGTGAGGTTCTCCAAAAATCAGACTCTAAATTGATGAGTGTGCAAGGGAGCTCTTCACATTCAGTATTTATGGAGGAAGAGAAGGGATTAGGATTAAGTAAAGAAGCTGGTCTGTGATACAATTACAGTAAGGCCTTGTTCACCCCCAGAGAGCTCATCGGCTGCTATGGGCCCAAGTTAGGGTGAGGGCATTGGGCCTTTATAGCCCCACACACTCCTGCCATTGGGTTGTAGGCTGACCCCAGATGGGATGTGACATAGGGTGGGGTCACTCTCCGAGGCTGAGAGTAATTTCCAGGGAAGGCTGACAGCTTCAGTCCGGAGAAGATCCCATTTGTCCAGTGCACCATCCACACCACAGCAGCTTGGATCAGTTTCTTCCGATAAACTGAGAGAGTAGCTCCTCTGAATCCTGTGAGTGTGTTTTCTTGGGGAAAACTTACAAAGGGAAGATTAGTGGAATGACCTACAGTTTCCACCATTGTAGTTGGTCTTGAAGCCGTAACCGATGCCTGGTATCTCCTTCTTCTCTTTCCCATTCCAGATTCCCCATATCCTTCACTAGCACCTCTGCTAGTCTGTATGCCTAGTTGGTCAGGTGACTCAGACCCTTGTCCGAGAGTCCGAGCCTCTGATCACCATGTACTTCTCATGCCATAGCTATTGTACTTGTCATTTTTCCTCAAAATGGAGTAAGGGAATAATAAGAGTGGAGCACCTTGCAATGCGAGAAGATAACTAAGTGTTCAAGGAAAAACCCACAGTGATGGGGATAGGTCAAAGACTTGGGGCCACGTGAAAGAACTATCTATGGCCTCAACTGGAACAAGTAGAGAAAAAAAATAGTATTGTTTATCTTTTGAATATTTTATTTATTTATTTGAGAGGGAGTGTAAGAGAGAGATCACAAGCAGGGGGGAAGGGCAGAGTGAGAAGCAGACCCCACACCAAGCAGGGAGCCCAAGGCAGAACACAATCCCAGGACCCCAGGACTGCAACCCGGGCTAAAGGTAGACACTTCAACTGACTGAGCCACCCAGGTGCCCAAGGTAGTATTGGATTATAACCTGAAGTTTAAAATAAACATCTATGAGCCCCCCAATGATGTAAACAAATTTTTTAATAAATAAGTAAATTGGGGGAAAGAGACAAATCTCCTTTATAGAAGAATTCTAAATAATTTATATAGGTATTTTACTCTAAAGAAGGTGGAATGTAACTCCCTATTCCTTATATACAGGTTGCCAATAGTGACTCCCCTCCAAAGAGTGAGGTATGGAAAGGGGAAAAAACAGTGGCTTTTCAGTGGAGAAAGTTAACAAATACCACTGAAGTCAGGTGATCAAGGTTAGCCTCAATTCCGGTTAGGTCCCGTTGATGGAATGTACCCCAGCACTTCACCTCTGTGGTCTTCCTCTTCCAAACCCAAAAGTCCAGTCTAATCATGAGCAAAACATGGGACAAAACCAGGGGGGCACTTTATGAAATAGCCTATTAGTATCCCTCAAAATCGTCAAGTTCATCGTAGCAAGTGAAGACTGAGAAACAGTTAGAGCCCAATGAAGCATGTCGACTGAAAGTCACGTGATGGGGCATTCTAGATGTGGTCTTGCAACCAAAAAAGGGCATTAGCTAAAAATTTAGGAAATCTAATTAAAATGCTCCATACTACTCTAATATGGCAATAATGGGAAACTGAGTGGGGTGTACATGTGAACTTTCAGGACTATCTGCATTTTTTCCTGTAAAGTTTCTGTAAAACTAAAGCTATTAAAAATTTTTAAGTTTCGGGGCGCCTGGGGGGCTCAGTGGGTTAAAGCCTCTGCCTTCGGCTCAGGTCATGATCTCAGGGTCCTGGGATCGAGACCCGCATCGGGCTCTCTGCTCAACAGGGAGCCTGCTTCCCTTCCTCTCTCTCTGCCTGCCTCTCTGCCTATTTGTGATCTCTCTCTGTCAACTAAATAAATAAAATCTAAAAAAAAAAATTTTAAGTTTAATTATTTTTATTTATGATTTTATTTTTAAGAATACCTCCACACCCAACACGGGGCTCGCGCTTACAACCTTGAGACCAAGAGTTGAGTGCTCCACCGACTGAGCCAGCCAGGCGCCCCTTTATTTGTATTTTTTTTGTAAAAATGCTAGAAGAATTATCTGGTTAAACATGACCTTTAGTGGCTATTAGCCAACCATCACATAAAAAGACACAGTAGCCCCAAAGGTGAAAACAATATATTAATTTATTTCTAAGACAACAACGTGGAACATCATTGCAATCAAGGATGGATTTAGTAGTTTCAACCGTCCCCATGGGCTAGCAGAAACCCACTGGCCCAAACACTACAATCTTCCAATATTAAAAAATGCAAGACACAGAGATGACCAGCAACAGATATGTAAACATCTTCTACTCCAAAAGAGTCTCGTTCTAGATGAGAAAGATCCAGTGTTAAACATTCCTTCTTCTCGGGTGGGGTCATTTAAAGTGGAAAAAAAAAAAAAAAGATGGTTCTTAGATTCCATTAGCTCTGGGTGTGTTTCCTCTGCTTCAAGCCTTTACCACTCTGCACAGCTACATCTTTTTCAGTAGCAGGAACAAAAGGCGGCTTGACTTCAAAGGCACTCCCTTAAATACGATTAACACTCAACAGGCACAGTCACAGGAAAAAAGAATAAAATTTGTGAATTAAAGATATCATTAGTTGTAGTAACTTTTTTTTGTTAGAATAAATAAATATTAAGGAACTTAGTAGATTTAGGAGGATAAGAGTAGACTTCACATTTTTCTGAGGTGACAGCACATTAATGCTGAGACCCTTCTTAAAACCTACCGTCTCTGGTATACTAAATATGGCTTTATTTCACCTTCTCTAAATACTCCATGTCAGGAAATCGAACGAAGGAGACCAGTAAGAACACCCCTATCCTCAGAGAATTTGTTTCCTAACGCTTACTAATAACGTCTGTGAGCCTCGCTTACTTCATCTGCAAAATGGAGGCAATCTTGTGAGCCTCCCAGGTGTTGTAAGGTTTTAGCGCAACGAGCCGTAAGGGAGCTGTCAGGATGCCTACAATGCAAGAGGCTTTAGCTTGTCCATTCCTACCCGTCTCCTTTGCAATGATCTCTAATATCTCTGATTTAGACCTTGATTTCTTTTTTTTTTTTTTAAAGATTTTATTTATTTATTTGAGAGAGAGAACGAATGGGGGGTGGGAGTGGGGAAGGGCAGAGGGAGAGGGAGAAGCAGACTCCCCGTGGAGCAGGGAGCCCGATGTGGGGCTCCATCCCAGGTCTCCAGGATCATGACCTGAGCTGAGTGCAGACGCTTAACAGACTGAGCCATCCAGGCACCCCTAGACCTCGATTTCTAATTACTCATATTCTTGGCCTGATATCCCAAATCTATAACTTTGCACATGAAAGTATTAAAATACAAGCAATCCAGGAGATTCTCTACAGCTGCCTTTTCGGCGTCGATGCTATTACCAAGAACTTTAGAGTGAAAAAGCTTCTGTCTCCCTTTTCTCCTGGTGTCCAAGATGGGTGTGGTGTACAACAGGCACTCAACAAATATTTACTGACTGCATGCTGAATGAATGAGTTGGATAAAGGAACGAGATGAGGGATCGGTGACACCGAAGCTCACTCACAGTGGAGAGCTCTTAGAAACCTAGTCGCTCTTACTAGCACTGTAAACCTACTCAGAGAATGCTCTGGAGTCCTTGAAGCCTCATGGCGTAGAAACTGGACTCCATTTTGCAGGTAAGATCACTTCGGTGGGGATGGAGGGTGGTGACCAAAGAGGAAAGTGACTCATTCTGAGGCTAGAGACTCGGGACAAGATTCATGCAATAGCACCTCTCTTCTAGAAATATCTTCATTCTTGGGAACGTTTCGGCGTTCTCCATGGAAAGCAACGGCAGGGGGACTAGCGCACATTCTAGACACACCCCAAGAAAAGTCCAGTTTCCCTGGGATCCCTTTGCTGAAGCAGGAAGCAGTGGCCACTGTTCGAAAAGCATATCCCGCCTCCTGTCAATGACTTTACCTTCTACACAGAACTCCAGACACAGTCAACTGGAAATGCTAGTGTTGAAACTTGGGAACAAGACCTAGTTCTCCCTTCTGGTAGCTTAAGTTCTAAAGGAGATGGCTGAGTTGCCCAGAAAGCTGTTTCTATGCCTCCGTGCGGCTGAGCAAAGAGGACTTGTATCCATGAATGCGTAGCTACAGACCCATCAGAGAAGACTCCTTCAAAGAGACACAATTCCTATTTCCCTCAACAGTTCTCCTTTTCTTATCTACAGTTCTCCTTTTCATGAAAACGTGTCTCTCCAGTGAGCATCTGGTGCCAAGGTCTGACGTCAGTTCAATTTATCACCGATCAGAGCATCAGCCCCACATGGAAGGAGCATCGGGAGGCCCCTGGTGAAGCCAAAAGGCTCGCCTCGCCCCGGGCAGCCACCCTGATGGCAGAGTTCACAGTGTCCACAGATGTCTTCACACAGAACAACACGGCCAGGTTCTGCAGCCCTAACCTCACTCCGGCACCTCCTCCCCTAAACGAGGCAGAGTTCTCGCACAAAGCAAGGCTCTTCTCCCCGGCCGCGGGCGCCCGCTGAGCCCGTGTTACAGGGGATCAGAAATACCAGCTGGGTTGAATTACGGTTTCACTCTGATTTAGGGTTCTTTCTCGAAGCCTCAGCTCCAGGCATTCCACAGTGAGGGGGTACGTGGTAAGCTCAAACTTGTTAGCGAAGAGGCTGGGCGAATTAATCAACCACTTCAAGTCTCCGTTTCCGTAGATACAGATGCCGTGTACGTAGCGGCCTGCGGAGGGGAGAACAAGAGACCATCAGAACATGCTGGGTTTCCCAAGCTGGGGGCAGTGAGGCTGCCCAGCAGTAGAGTCTTGTCTACCTGCGGAGCGGCTAAAAGGGTGCTAAGCACTATGGACTTCTAATGAAGCAGGACCGTGGGGGCCCAGCCCACAAGGAAGTTCAGCTCTTTATGGGAAGACGAAGGGCACACAGAGGTCCTTAAAGAACAGGACAGTGAACGGTATGGTACAATGGTACACTTCCGTGTATTAGCAAATGAGAGTGATGGAGGAGACGTTCTAGAAGCGTACAGAAGGGAGAGGTCCCTATGGGTTGCCCTGGTCAGGCCTGTTCTGTGAGCCTATCCAAGTGCTGACTTTTTATCTCCACTTAGATGAGAACGAATCTCCCTGAGGGGACATGTCAGGACTCAACTCCTCACCCCCTCCGAGCTCCCCTGGGTACGTCTGTCTCCTCCTTTCTCTCATACCCCACACCCAATCTGTCAGCCATTCTGACACCTCAACCTTCAAAATACTAATGGAATTGGACCCCTTTCTACCACCTCCGCTACCACCACTGGGGCCCACACCACCTCCACCGTCCTATCCAAATTGTTACAGTAATAACCGGATTCCACTGCGACCACCTTGGTCTGTTAGCGCAAAAGCCAGAGCGACTGCTTTAAATGTCAGCACATCATGATGTCTCCTCTGCTCAAGACCCTCTAAGGGCTTCTCATCTCATTTGGAGTGTTAGGTCCGTGATCAAAGGAGCGAGACTGATACAAAGTGAAGGTCAAGCAAAGCTTCATTTCATGCCAAGCATCGAGAATCAAACTGACCGTTCGGGGCCGTCTCTTACAGAGAGAGCGACCCCTCCCAGCCTCACAGACTAACTTTTATAGGGCAAAGGCCATGTGGTTGGGCCTGGCCACACACAGGTGGCCAATGAGATTGCAACACACAGAGAAAGCTGCACAGTCATGGTAGGTCACACACGGGCGGCCAATTGAATTATAATTCACCCCATAGTAGCTAGTTGAACTACCTTGGTCAGAATTGGCACCCAAAAGGCGGGGCCCACACTCCTTGGTAGCTAGGGGATGGTATGTGCGCCCCACTGATTGGATGTCTCCACCTGGCCCGACTCATCCCTGCATTCGTGCTTTTATCTCCACCTGACCTGACCCACCCTTGTATTAGGGCTCTGTTATCAGAGACTGGTGGACCACATTCTACTGGTTTCTGGGACTTGCTTTTAAGTAAGTTCCCCTGGCGGGGTGGGGACAGGGTCAGTTTAAGTTTTACTGCATAAACAACAAAATCACTGTTTAACCTGATGGAATCGCTCTGGCTAAGTTGGCCCTTACATGGACTCCTCAGGGTCTGGACTTTACCTCCCACCCCTTGCTCATTGACTTACAACCCTTAATAACCCTTGCTTAGTCCCTTTGGCCACACTGGCCTCCTTGCTGGCCTGGAGCACACCACGCACGCTCTACTGGAGAATCCACGTTGCTCTTCTCCCCCCGCCAGCTCCTTTCCACCACACATCCTGGAGGCTCCCTCTCACACCGTACCCCAGGCCTCTGCTCCAAGGCCGTGTTCTCAGTGAGGCCTCCTCTGACCCCTCTTTCCTCCTTCCCTGATTCATTTTCCTCTTGGCTCTCATGAGCAACAGGTAGACATGTGTATCAGTGCCAGGAAGGCAAAATATTTTGTTTACGGACTTTCTTTCCAGATAATTGTTTATTGTCTTTCTCCTTAGACTAGAACATAAGGCTCAAAAGGGCTGAACTTGAGACCATTTTGTTCCCCTCTATGTCCTCAGCATCTGGGACAGAACCTTGTAAACATCAGGTGTTACATTAATACTACAGAACAAATGGATAGAGAAGGATGGGTGGCGACTCTGTGGAAGGACAGACTAGGGGAAGCCATGGGGGGTGCAGATGGTGGCTTCATTTGGGGACAATGCCTCTGGAAAAATGTGCAGAGGTGGGAATTTTCTACTAGAATTGGGAGTTTGGTTGGGAAGTGGGTTAGAAGAAGAATGGTAGGAAGTTGAACCTCTTTTCTAGAGGTTTCTTGGCATAGAGTAGAACGACTATGGTTGACTAACCTAAAACAAACTAAAGGGCTAGGCCTTTTTTTTAAATCCCATACATAGGGAGAGTCTCTGAAGATTTCTGAATGGAAGAATCAAATGGTGAAACAAGCTTTAGCAAGATTAATTTTGCACAGCTTGGCAGGGTGCGTTAGAAATCAATCATGAGGCCACACTAACAACTTAATGTAAACCAGAGAACCGGTTCAAAGTTAATGGTTGCCATGAGAGGGGAAGGAAAGGTATTAGAAACAGAGCAGAGAAGGGCTGACAGGACTTGTGATTAATTGAATGTGCCTGGGAGGAAATACAAGAGAGAATGGAAATCACGGGGCACAGAAGCCAGAGTTGTGGCAAGTCAGAGAAGGACCCGGGGGAGGAGGCAGGGGGTAAGAACTGAAGTCATAAGCAGCCCGTCCATGCTTAAGAGAGTAAAGTGAACAGGGGCGACCGTTTCAGTGTGGATGGAGTAGAGGCTACACAGACAACTTGGTCTTCAGGCCAGAGGCAATCACCACACACCTGATAGAGAAGAGAATCCCTACCCACCAGCACAGAGGGGGCAACACAGGAAGGCAGGAGAGCAAGGGGATCCTCTAGGGAAACCCACACAAAGCTGAGCCCCCCCACCCCAGATGGTGACCCTGGTTGTGAGGATGGGTAGCTTTCCTCTCAGAACGGGAAGGAATGATGAGAGTGTGTCCAAAGTATCCTGATATGGAGAAAAGGGGATGGCATGACAAACTGGTAAGGGGATGTCCATCAAATGTCTTGAAAGTTCTTCCTCAAGTTGAAGTTATTACCTTCTGAGAGTAGAAAGGCCATTTTAGCCTAAGATTGAGAGTTTAAGGTGAGCAGAAAAGATGAACAGGACACCAGGAAGATAATGAGGTAAATAAAAGAGTAAGTAGGCAGCCAGGAGGGTCTAGCCTCCTTGTTGCGGGGGGACAGTCTCCAGCGATGGTTTGCTTAGGAAAACACAAATGGCATAAAGCGGATGGTGGTGACCCTTATGCATAGGAATGGGCCTTGTAGGGTCAAACGCAGGGGAATCTGGAATGTTGAGTGAGAACAGCGTGGGACAGCTGACCCAGTTACACAGGCTGGACAGGGAGTCCTCAGAAGGAAGCTAGTAGGAGGAAGCAGCTGGGACAGTTGAAACCTTGGCAATCCCAATTTTAAAAAAGTTGCCACGTTTCAAACAACAAAAACAACAACAATATATTTTAGATGTGGGGATATAGCAATGAACAAATTGGTTAAAAATCCTAGCCCTCTTGGAGCTTCTATTCTGCTCTGGGGAGAAAGACGGGAAGATACAAAGCACGTAAGCTGGTGAAGAAAACTAGCAGAGCGACAAAGAGATTGTAATCAAAGGCGGAAGCTCCAAGTTCAAGATGACAGAGCTAGAGTGGTCAGGTGATTCTAAGTGCTGACAGGGTCTAGAGTGGGTACACATCCACCAGTTTGGAACAATTCCTATTACTCGCCACCAAGGGGAAAAGGTCCAGATCGTACTCCTGACTTGCTGGTCTGGCACGCACTGTTCTGCCTTCTCTGGGTTCTTTTTCTTTTCCCTCTCGAGTGGTTTGGGGGACAAACTATTTTTATGCTCTGTACCATACAAGGCTTTCAGATGTTCACTGACGTAACAGGTGCTACAAGAAGAAAAATGAGACATTTCTCTGAGAGACTTGGGCTGCCCAAGCTTTGTACACTAGGTAGGTCCCTGGCTCACGGCTCCTCTCATGGGCCCACTTGTCATGTGGTAAGTGAAAATCCCTCTAAAAATGTAAACCTGACTAGCCTATACCTTCTCTATGGGGTAGGGCTTGGGCACAGGTGAGGACAAGGAGGTGGAAGGTAAGGCTCTATGGAGGGGCAGGGGTTGGTGACGGAGGCACAGGGGGACAGGAGCTTCCTCTGTGGAGGCTAGAGCCACAAAGTCATGACGTCCCATGGGTCCCTGCCGTGGAGGCTGAAGTCCTTGCGAGTTACAGCCGGAGAGAAGTAGCAGATCAGAGGATGACCACAGCAGTCCCAGAGGGAGGGTGACAGGGTTATAGGAGGACTTCGGGGAACTCAAATACTGGGACCCCCCAACTGATGGTGATGATGGTCTCTTTTCTAAAGAAGACCCAGGAGACCCAAAAGCGAATGTCCTCTCCACCCTCCTCCTTCCACCAGCAGTGTGGGCCGCGATAAAACGCAGGTACGTGGCCCGGTATCAGCCAATATGTTGGCTGATTAAGGTAAAGACATGAATATGCCTGCCTCGGGGCAGACTGTACAGTGACATGAGGATTTGCCATCTGCAGAGGAAGCGGATGCTCAGAGAGACGGAAGAGGGGGTGGGGAGGAACGGAGAGCTACCCAGAGGCAGTCATTTGGAGGTTTTCCTCTGAAACATGAGGTGTTGATGAGATGGCCCCAAGAGGGAAGCCAGAGACTGCACCTAGACGGACTGATGGACGAGTAGAGGTGGCAAAGCTCTGTCAGCACAGGGAGCAAAGGCCACCTCCCGTTATGGGCTGAGTTGTCCACCTGCCCAAATCCATCAGTTGAAGTCCTAGCCCCCCTGCCTCTGTACCTCAGACTGTGACTGTGTCTGAGACAGAGCTATTCAAGCTAAAATGAGGTCATACAGGATGGGCCCTTGTGCAGTAGGAATGCTGTGGGGGTAAAAAGAGGAGATGAGGACCCAGACACATACAGAAGGAAGACCACGTGAGGCCTTGGGAAGAAGGTGGCCACCTGTGAGCCTCTCAGGAGAAACCAAATCTGTCACCACCTTGATCTCCAGCTTCCAGCCTGCAGGAGGGTGAGGAAACAAATTTCTGTTGTTGAAGTCACCCGGTCTCTCATACTTGGTTACGTGAGCCCTAGTTAATGAATACCATGCTCACTACATACCAGGCAACAGTTTAAATGGAATGTTGACCAGGGCTGATGAAAGCCCTTCTTTATAAAGTCCTACAGAAATGAAAACTACTGGGGCGCCTGGGTGGCTCCGTTGGATAAGTGTCTGCCTGAGGCTCAGGTCATGAGCCCGGATCCCGGGATAGAGTCCCTCTCGGTGGGGAGCCTGCTTCTCCCTCTGCCCACCATTCCCCCTAATTGTGCTCTCTCTCTCTCTGTCAAATGAATAAATAAAATCTTTAAAAAAAAGAAAGAGAGAAATGAAAACTACTTAAACTTTCTCATTCTTGTCCATTTGGAGGAAAGACATCTCTTGTTAGTGTTGCCCGTCATCACGCCAGAGCAGCCATGAGTACCTCCAAGCCAGCGGGAAGCCTATCTGCGGGGACAGCAGAAGCTGGTGTAAAGGGTAGGGGTGGAGGTCCAGCTTGCTCGGTGATGAGAACATGACATCACTTCTCATCTTGATCACTGTCCCCTCCTAACCACTGCACCCCCAAAAGGAACAGAAAGAGGAATAAATAAGAAGAAAGCAGAAACTAGTAAGAAAGTATCCTCAAAGTTGAGGCCACTTCTATCCCCACTTGATAATCATGAGCTAGAGAACATCGGTGAGATCTATCCACCTTTCTTTCTTTCTTTCTTTCTTTCTTTCTTTCTTTCTTTCTTTCTCTCTCTCTCTCTCTCTCTCTCTCTCTTTCTTTCTTTCTTTCTCTGCTTCTTTCTCTCCTTCTTTCCTTCCTTCCTTCCTTCCTTTCTTTTTTAAATGCAGCCTCCATATCCCGCATGGAACCCAATGTGGGGCTTGAACTCATGACCATGAGATCAAGACCTGAGCTAGGATCAAGGGTCGGATGCTTAACCAATTGAGCCACCACCCAGGAAATCACCTAAATTTACCATGTCTTGAAGCCTCTAGCTACTCTAAGAACACATAGATTGTTCTCCATGAGAACCCCTGTATTTCACAACAATGTTCACGCCAACACCAACAAACTGCGTGGCCTCAAAGTGTGGAATGAACAGCTCACCATGGCAGCCTCCATGTTTATCTTCCATGTCCATCCACTTTATAGCCCTGAGGTTACCGGTCCATGATGCATTTGGCATGGAGCCAGGGACACCTGCAATGTTGATAAAGAAAAGCAGAAATGAGAACCAAGAGAGATGGGTGCCATTTCATCAACGAAGCCTGCAAGTTATGCTTATATTTTCTGTAGATTATCTTTCACATTAGATTTTCCTTCATGGGTGCAAAACCTCAAAAGCTTATGGCATTAATAGTTGGCAGTTATGACCCCACCTGGCCACCAGTGAAAAAAAGAAAAAAAATATATAAGCATAATTTTTTTGGTTATAGTGTGTGCCCAAGCCTGCAAAATAGAGTTTAAGAAATACCATAGCTTGAAATCATAACGAAGATGGAAAAGTTGGGAGATTTTGGGGTTATCTCTTAATGGCCCTCAACTGATTTTACATTCAGTCCTAACATTACAGCTCTTTAAGACTTTTCAGATGACTTGTATCTTAAAATGAAAGCTCAGAAAACAGGCTACTCTATGTGCTAAGCACTAATAAGTGAAAGCCCTTTATACGAGGTCGCAATGTTAGGCATACAGAAGGGAAATATCTTGTTCACTACTTATAAACTCAAACACATCCCTTAACATGCTACCTTTTTAAAATTATTTTTTAATTTTTTTTAAGCAATCTCTATACCCAACATAGGGCTCAAACTTATGACCTCAAGATCAAGCATCCCATGCTCCACTACTGACTGATCCTGCCAGGCCCCCTGACACGTTATACTTTTTATTCCTTAAAGTGCTTCTTGAGCATTTGGTGTTGCCAAGCATTGTGCAGGGCCCTGGGGGGAGAGAGAGGAAACAGACCCAGTGAAGATGAATTGTCGACCCCAAGAGGTAGGTTTGAGCTTTGAGATCCCCACTATGAGGAAGACTGGTGTGCACTGACCCACCCATCTTCTCTATTTCTTTCCCCTGTTCTTTGGCCCAAAGTTTAGTGGCTGACCAATTAACTAATCAGGAATCAATGCACTTTCTTGAAATGTAAAAAGCCTTTAAAAAAGAAAAGAGGGCTTTGGGTCCCCACTAAGCCAGGGCTTTTCCACCTTGGCAATACTGACACTTTATCTATTTATTTATTTTTGCATATTTTTATATTTATTTATATTTTTATTTTATTTTAAAGAAATTTATTTTATTTACATTCAAAGAATGAACACACAGAGCATTACTGACACTTCAGGCTGGATGATTCCCTGTGATCAGGCCTGTCCGGGGTGTTGTGGAATTACTCAGCAGCATGCCTGCCCTCCACCCACCGGATGCCAGTAGTACACAGCCCTCTGTTGTGACAATCAAAAACATCTTCCAGTGTGGCCACATGTCCCCCAGGAGGGAGGGTGGGTGCACAAAACTACCCCCATTTGAGAAATGCTCTGTTAAACCATTTTTAAAAAGATCTACTTATTTATTTTAGAGAGAGAGAATGAGAGAGAGAGAGAGTGTGCACACACACGAGTGGGAGGGGCAGAGAGAATTTCAAGCAGGCTCCCTGCAGAGTGTAGAGCCCGATGTGGGGCTTGATCCCTCGACCCTGAGATCACGACCCGAGCTGAAATCAAGAGTCAGATGCTCAACCAACTGAGCCACCCAGGGCTCCCTGTGCTAAACCATTTCGTATAACCCTCTCCATCTCAATAAATTTTGGACAGTTCACAGAGATTAAAGGGTCCATTTTAATCCTATAGAGTAGTTTTACCCCAAGATTTCCGTTACTAGAAAGTGAGTAGATGGGAATTAAAGGTAAATGCAACAAAAGAAAAAATATTTTGTTTCATAAGCGCTCCAGCAATTTTCACCGGTGAGCAAAGCAAATCTGAACGTAATTCTGATGTTAACAGTACCGCGCTCATGACCTCTGTAACCAGGCTGTAACAGTCCTTTCTCAGAAGACCCAGTAGGCAGAATCATGCCCCTCCCCACGACATGCATTCCAAGAAGTCTGGATCCTAATCTCTGGAACCTGAAATTATGTTATGTTACAGGGCAAAATGGAATTCAGTTTGCTAATCAGCTGACCTTAAAATAGGGAAATTATCCTGAATTATCCAGGCTGGACCAATGCAACCACAAGGGTCTTTTAACAGTGGAAGAGGGAGGTGAACAGCTGGTACACGGGTACCATTAGAAAAGGCTCAGACCCTGCAGAAAGGAACGGAGCCCAGCCAACACTTTGGTTTAGTCTGGTGAGACGTGTGTCAGATTTCTGTCCTAGTAAGATAATACATTCACGTTGGTTCAGCTGCTAAGTCTGCAGTGGTTTGTTACAATGGCAAACAAAAAAACTAATATGCATACGAATGAGAAAAAAAATTATCCAGGATGATAGATTTTTTTAAGATATTTTTTAATAAGAAAAAAAACTAGACAAGACCAATACTTTTCAGAAAGTTTAATTGGATTAGGCGCATGTTCTTTAAGAACATGAATAAAAATGTGCATGTTCAGAAGAAAAAAAGCTCTGTTCTTTTGCCCTGGTGTCACATGGTAATTATATGATGACCTAAATCAAGAATTGTACCCAGGTCTCCCAACTAAAATTAAATTTTGCACAGCCCTTCCTGTAAATGGCATGATCCCTACTCCTAAGGGCTTGCTATAAGACAGATCCTTTTTTTTCTCTCTGCCAAACTTGAAAAGTTTGCTTATAAATAATGAGTAGTCCCCAAGAAAAATACCATTTATTTAGCAATATTTCTTCCTATTGCTCTGATTTGCATTTATTACTTTAAAAATTACGTTAGCACATGCCTTTCCCAAGAGAAGCTTCTTTATTTGTTCTTAGTACACATCTTAAAAGGATTTAGAATAAAACTTGCCTTGGTTAAGTTGGGGGGTGAGTGGAGGACACTCCAGAAAACATAGAGGTACTTTGGTATATTTACTTGTGTCAACAAGATTAGCGGACATGCATGTAATTTCTACAAGTCTATTTTGGTGAAAAGCCACAGCAGAAAAGTGTGAACACATCACGGTAACAAAACGTACCTACCCTCCTTTACGCGATTATGTCTTTTAAAGGATTAGATTTTTTTTTTCCTCTTTCATTCTCATGAATATTGATCATCACAAACTGACTCTTCCTCAGAAACACACTCCATTATTCTAGAAATAAGATGGTGACATTTATAATTAATGACTGCCGTCTTTACAATAAACACATAACAGGAGAGCTTGGGGGGCTCAGTCGGTTAAGTTTCTGCCTTCGGCTCAGGTCATGAACTCGGGGCCCTGGGATCGAACCCGTGTTAGGCTCCCTGCTCGGCTGGGAGTCTGCTGTGTGCCTCCCACCCCCACTCATACGCACATGCTCTCTCTCCCTCTCTCTCTCAAATAAATAAAAATATTTAAAAAATAAAAAAAATAAAAACCTAACACATGTGAACTTCCTGCTCATGGAATTACAAACCTCAATTTTTCTTTCTTAAGATTTTATTTATTTATTTGAGAGAGAGCGAGAGGGAAAGAGAGAGCAAGCACAAGCTGGGGGGAGAAGCAAACGCCCCGCTGATGTGGGGCTCCATCCCAGGACCCTGAGCCGAAGGCAAACTAAATTAGTCAGTTAAACTGACTTGGCCACCCAGGTGCCCCAGACCTCAACTTCCGTACTTTGTTTACCAACAAGTCTCAAACGTGTCTGTTTAAATATTACTCATATGTGTGCAGACAAAAATTACATTTTTCCAAGTGGAATCAGAGAGAGGGACAAAGTCGAACTCTATTCTGTCTTTTCTTGCAAAGAATTCCAAGGTCCAGAAATACCTGGCAGGAGTGGGCAGCGCCTCTGGCTTTGTTGGACTGGGAACTTGGGCGTCCCCTGGGAGCTTGTTAGAGATGCCGAATCAGCCATCCTGCCCGAAAATCTGCACCCTCACAAGATCCCCAGAGCATCCCAGCACGCGATCGAACCTCGGCAGTCCTGGGCCATAACCAGCACTGCAAAGAGGACATAGCTTCTGTCTCCTCTCTCCTTGAAGTCCCTCCCTCAGCCTTCACCAGGTTTCCAGTTACCCTTTCTTTCTCCTTTTCCCCACATTTTGCCCTGGTGAAGAAATCTGGTACTATGTACCTTCTATCCTTTGGTTAAGTTTGCAAACCTGTCCGCACCGCAGGGAACACAGGCATTTGAGCAGACCACTCAAATTCCTTTCCTGAAGCCCATCAGCCCCCCTCATGTGGGGGAAAGCTACGCTGAGCAGAAGACCGGTCCTCAGGGAGCCTTGACCTCACAGCATGGGGCCCACGGGGGATTCTCAGTCAATGTTAAAGGACTGAATGCGTGAGGCACGCAAGGGTTGCCCCCAGCAACTCCGAGTCTCCAGGGCTGCCCATAGTGTGTGGCTAAGACAGGCCTGCCTGCCACCTTGGTTTCCCAACAGGTCACTGTACAATGAAGGTACAATCATGCTCTACCTCTCGGGATCAAAAAGTATTTATTCTCCTCTCGTGGCCGAGGCCAACCTGTTTCGGTCTTCCCTACAGCAACTGCTTAAGCGGCCATCAGTCACCTATTTGCCACGTGGGTCCTGCCTGGTACAACTCGCCTGATAACCCTCCACAGGGCTTCCGGCGACAGCTCAAATGTCAACCCGGTGTGGATACTCTGCAGGCATCGCTTGATTATTTTTGTCAGGCAACAATGGCAAGCGAGAGACTGAGTGGTCTGACTGGACCACGTGCCTACCACGCAGTGACTTAATGGGGTCTCGGTTAAAACATTACGTGGAGACCCCAAAGCTACTGACCGCATCACTTGTGCTGACATCTGATGCTCCTTCTACTTCCTAAAATTATCCCCTAAGCATAATTTTCTCCCAGGGACGACCCACAGCAGACGCCCCAGCACCCGTAGAACACAACTTCCCACTGCGATTGGGGAAATTCGTTCTTACCCCAGCTTTGGCAGCTTTGTCACTAACCAGCTGTGTATCCTGGAACCATCACTTAAGACTGTAGACTCACCTTTCAAGTGAAGCCTAGAACAGATCGGCAGAGTTTCAAACGTTCAGACTGCAATCCACAGAAAAACAATTTATACC